TGATCTTTAAAGTACAACTAAAGGCAAACTTTTTTTTTTTAGTTTTGGACACAGTGGAGAGGGAGTAGAACACCTGTAAGGTTAATTTAGCAATTTAGCTACCTCTGCCCCCCACTCATTTGTCCCATTTACTATTATCATTGAAAGTGAAAGTAAAAGAAAATCCCAAATTTTGTGGTATCTCCTGAACAGTAATAAATGGGAAATCTTCCAATAGGGACACTAATTCTGGTGACCTGGGGGACCCCAAGGAATTCCCTTAATTTGCTTTCACTTCCTGTTTTGGCTATGGGACAGGACATGAAGGTAAATCTTCCCACAGGGATACAGATGGCAAAAAAACTGACAAGGTTTATAACCCTCCCTTACCCTATCCAAAATTGAAAAAAATGTTTTGCCTATAGTCCTGCTTTTACTTTAGAATCTTTATCCCTCCTTTATTGGCTCTATAAACATCATGGGACCTTGACACCGTGCCCACAGTGGTCAGATGAAACATTCAACCATTACACTAAATCTGCCAAGGTGTTTGCTGGCCCAATACTGATGAGCAAGGCAAGCATGAATTCATAGTATGACACATTCTGGTGATCACAAAAGCTTACGTCTATGTGATCTTCCAGAAAGCCAATAAAAAATACAAATTCCTCAGCTTGTCTCTCATACATGAATCCCCAATTTACATCACAACACGTTGCAGAGTATAATTAGCTAATTTCTTGCCAAGTTCAAAAGCGTGAGCAAAACGGCGAGACGCACACGCGCCAGATCCTTTATTTTTTTTTTTATCTACAGCAGACAATGCACAGTAAACATGATTTTAACTTCCAACTGAATGCAAATAAGCGCTACAATGTGTGTAGGAAACCAAGCGTCTAATCCCGTCAGCTATCACATAATGGGCTTTCGGTCTGAAAATAAACATTAGAAAAACACATAAACCGCAAGATGTGCTTCCTAAGATGCACATAAAAGCCAACATTGGGAGATGATGCACAAAGGCTGCTATCATACATTTGGCGATCTACTGCAATGGGTTTAGTGGTAAATAAAAGCAAGTTGAAACCCATATCAGAGAAACAGCTTTATAACTCCTTTTGTCATATTAATAAGTCTGACGAGGCATGCAAAGGGATTTCAATCTGTGCCAAGCTAGACAAAATATCTTTAATGAGTTTAATTAGTTTTCTCGAAAAAAAAAAAGAAAAAGGGAAAAGCAACATTTGGAAAGGATGAATGGAGAAAGTGTCTGGATCTCTAAAGATTCCCACATTACGTGATCAAACTCGAATGGCCACTTGGTAAGCAAAGGGCTGGGTTAAAAGATAAGCACACCCAGAACTGATACAACAACCTCCCACCAATGTTGTTTTATGCCTCCAATCATGATTTTAGCCTAACGTCTTTAAAATATATGTAAACCCTCACCTTGTAAAACATCCCATTGAGTTTAAAATAGAAATGAAAGGAAAAACATTTGTGTATAGATATAAAAACATTATAAATACCCTTTTTTATAAGTGATCACATATCCTCTGTTCTCAGCTGCATAGAGAGGTGGAGGAGGAGAAACAGCAATACACTGAACTTACCAGTGAATGGCTGTGCTGGGGGGATGTGTCAGGACAAGTTTGATCATTGGAGAAGATTAGGCAAACTAACCACACTGTGCTCTCATACCAGGGATTTCACACAAAGGAAGCAATACCAAGAGAACAGGATACGTTTTCATACAACTAGACACGTACAGCAGACACATATCAGATATATGAAATGTTGGGTTTACATTTCCTTTAATATTCAAATATAGAAATCTAGAAAACAGGGTGGAGCAGTTGTCATAATGAAAGTCAAATGCTGAAATATGGTCAACCTAAAAACTTTAATTTAGAAATGAGCTGTAGTTAAATACAGTATGTTTAGCTGTGACTAGAACCAGAAGCTATGCATTCCTGGGTAACCTTAGGTGAGTTTGATCATTTCATTTACACTATATGATCCCTTTAGCCCTTGCATTGGTGGTCAGTGGCAGATATTTAATTCCCTCCTTCCCACACTGGTAGATAGTGGCAGTGTTATTTGATCTCTTTTCCCCTGCATTGGGGGTCAGGGACAGTGTTATTTATTCCCCTCCAACATTGGTGGACAGTGGCATATGATGTAACGAAACCGGACCCGGACTACGCTTAGGTATTTCCATTAAACTCCCGCTTCCCTGTCCGAACACCGACCACGGACCCCACCGCTGACCAAACAAGACTAGACAGCACCAGTCTTGTATTAAACCAGGAAATAGACTGATTTATTTTAACACAGACACAAGATATAAACATTCAAGGGAACAACCCACCTATGGACACAGGGCGGGGCAAACCAAATCTAGCAACCAGAGACACATCAGCAGACAACCCCCACCAAGCCAATACACAAACACATACATCCCATAATAGTTTGCTCCCAAGCAAGACACACAATAGAACAATGGGATGCACCACATGGCAGTATACAATGAAAAAAACCCACACCCCACCTATATATGTCTACACAATATCAGGACATTCCACCCTGTACCCCTAACAGGTACAGGGTGACTTACACATAAGAGGGATATGGGGAGCTGAGACAGGGGTCTCCCCACCTCTCCAAAGTGATCTGTGTTCTATGGGTCCCCCACCCAAAGTCACACCCGTCACATATGGAAACAAGGTTTTTAAAATATTACCCCTGCAGCTACATCACCAATATGTCCTGCAAAGACATAGAGAAGGTTGCCAGGCGAGGGGTTGGGGGTCACTGCACAAGGCAGGAAGACATCTGACATACCCCAAATTGTGCTTAGGATTCCAGCAGTGGCTGAAGCTCTACAGAAGAGTAAACATAGGCTGCAACAGGCTGTGTATAAGTATTATATGTACCAATACACAGTCTTTGTTTAGAATTTTCCATTTTGCAACAGTGTCAGTTTAAAGCCTTTCTATAGGTTTGTGCTGCCAAGGCCCTCTCATCAGAAGCATAAGGTATGACATGGAAGCTACAAGAAGTCAATACAGAGGACAATCAGCGCAAACAGTAATCACCCAGCCCCTTTGAATTATAAAGCATAAAAGTCCAAAAGTCCAATATAGGGCTAAATATAGAGCTCAGCCCCACCCCCAGCTGTCTGCTCACAGGGTTTGACTGACAACAGCAGGAGCCAATGGCTTGCACTGCTCTCAGTGTAGTGTACTGAGAGCAAAGAGGGGAAGGAAGATTGACAGCTGGGCACAGCTCTGGATCGAGACAGGGCTCAGAATAAAAGGCTTTTTTTTCTTGTTGTTTGACTGGAGACAGCCAAGTCCGCAAAAAAAAAAAAAAAAACCTGAACAGGACTACACCTAGACTGAGAAGCAGGGAAATTAGAAACAGCTACACCCTTAAGCTTGACAAGGGGAGCGCGCTTCTGTCCTTAGAGGTCTAGCGCATGCTCCAAAATGCGTCGCTATGCATGCTGGTCCACATACGTCATCACGCTGACGCCGGCGTTGCGCCTCAAGGTGCGTTTCAGAAGGCATCACAAGCCAGCCGACTTTCTTGGTACATCCATGGTCTTCATAGTATGGACGTGGCTGACACAGCGAGGACACAGCCGCCCTCCCATCCAGTTGAGCTTGCTGTTATAATACAAAATGGGAGTTGATCTACATTGGTTACTTATTAAAGTTGTCTTATACTACACTTAGAGGCGCTTCTTTTTTCTTTCATATGACATGGAAGCTGACAATGGACAGAAGTTGGAGTCTCTGCAAAGAAAACTGTCTGGTTAGCCAAGAAACAGCATGCACATTTGTCTGTGTGGATTGCAGCTATTGCTATGGAACATCCTAGTGATGGCTCTCAGCTGAATGTCAATCAACATGTTAACATGTAAAACTATGTACACAAGATTATATAAATAATTTTACAGTGTTCCTTATTTTATGGTGTTCCCCTTACTGTGTTTGTGTTGATTTTGTACTAAAGGATAATTCTAGACTGCAATAAGAAATGTAAAACTAACCATGCATAATGGCATGTTGCATGCACTGGGTGCCTTTTATTTTTGGTTGTGCGATACAACAAGTGGAAGCACCAGAGAGCCAAGAAAGAGGACTGGGGTGGACTGGTACAGTTCTACAATGGATGAAAACATATATACTAAGCAGGTAGTCTATGCTCCCTGTGTGCATCTTATTTTTTATTCTGACTGGAGTATGCCAAGGTTCTCATGGGGAAAGCTGGGGAATGGCTCAGTGTTGGATAGACTATTATTCTGTGTACTAGCAAAACACCATCTGGAACAAACAGAAGGAGGGTGCATTGTATATAGGCTTCATTCCTGCTCCAAACATCATCAAATATGACTTTTTTCTGCTTAAAAGAGCCTCTAAAAACAAAGCAGACATGGACACAAAACTATCCACTTCTTGCATTTTATCCATCATAAATCTGTACAAATATAACCTAACATGATAAAAAAAAAGGTGCGGAATCAGAGATTACGTGAAACACAAGCAGCTTAACCACTTGCCCTCCAGAAGATTTACCCCGATTCCTGACCAGGCCATTTTTTGCCTTCTGGCACTGTGTTACATTATCTGACAATTGCGCGGCCATGCAACGCTGCACCCAAATTAAATTTACAATCATTTTTCCCCACGAATTGTACTTTCTTTTGGTGGTATTTGATCGCCTGTGCATTTTTTATTTTTTACGCTATTAAAAGAGAGAGACGATTTTAAGAAAAAAACGATATCTTTGATTTTTTTTCTATTAAACATGTGCAGTAAAAAAAATTTAAAAATCAAATTTAGTCATAAATTTAGGCCAAAATGTATTCTGTGACATGTCTTTGCTAAAAAAAAAAACCCCAATACGTGTAAATTAATTGGTTTACATTAAAGTTATAGCATTTCCAAATGGTGGTATATATACTGGGATTTTTTGTTTTATAAAAACATTTTTACTAGTAATGTAGGTGATCAGCGACTTACAGCGGACATTCTGACACTGGGGGGAACTGACTTGGTGTCACTGACATCCCCAGTGACACCAATACAGTGATCAATGCTAATAAAAAGCACTGACACTGTATTAATGGCACTGGGCAGGAAGATGTTAACATGTGGGGCGATCAAAGGGTTAACTCTGACCTGTTTACTAGGAGATGTGTGTTAGTGCTTTACTGTAAGCCAGCGGTTCTCAACCTGGGGGTCGAACAACCATTTCCCAGGGGTCGCCTAAGACCATCGGAAAACACATATTTCCGATGGTCTTAGGAACCGAGACACCGCTCCTGTCTCCGGCGATGTGTGGGCGGGATATGCTGCCCCTGTAACCGCCTCCTCGCCGCTGATTGGCCACCGGAACTGTAGCTCAGGAGAGGCACACAGGCGGCCAATCACCGGCGAGGAGGTGGAGCTTGGAGAGGAGGAGCCGAGCGGCAGCGCGCGGAGATCAAAGAAGATCGAGGGAGCTGCAGGAGCGAGTGAAGAGAGAGGCCAGAGAAGGAAGACAGCTGACAGGTAAGTGCAAATTTTGCTGCTGCAGCCAGGTATGCAGGCTGTAGATGGGAGAGAGAGAGAGCGAGCCCAGGCTGGAGCAGGAGTCAGCAAGGTAAGTATCATTGGTGTCAGTGGGAGGGATAGTGCCCCATCATTTGTGTCACTAATACCAACGATGGGGCACTATTCCTCCCCCCACTGACACCAACGATGAGACACTATTCCTCCCCTCACTGACACCAACGATGAGGCACTATTCCTCCCCCCACTGACACCAACGATGGGGCACTATTCCTCCCCCCACTGACACCAACGATGGGGCACTATTCCTCCCCCCACTGACACCAACGATGGGGCACTATTCCTCCCACTGATACCAATGATGGGGCACTATTCCTCCCCTCACTGACACCAACGATGGGGCACTATTCCTCCCCTCACTGACACCAACGATGGGGCACTATTCCTCCCCCCACTGACACCAACGATGGGGCACTATTCCTCCCCCCACTGACACCAACGATGGGGCACTATTCCTCCCCCCACTGACACCCACGATGGGGCACTATTCCTCCCAATGACACCCACGATGGGGCACTATTCCTCCCCCTGGCACCCACAATGGGGCACTATTCCTCCCACTGACACCCACAATGGGGCACTATTCCTCCCACTGACACCAATGATGGGGCACTATTCCTCCCACTGACGCCAATGATTGGGCACTATTCCTCCCCCCACTGACACCAACGATGGGGCACTATTCCTCCCCCCACTGACACCAACGATGGGGCACTATTCCTCCCCCCACTGACACCAACGATGGGGCACTATTCCTCCCACTGACACCAACGATGGGGCACTATTCCTCCCAATGACACCCACGATGGGGCACTATTCCTCCCCCTGGCACCCACAATGGGGCACTATTCCTCCCACTGGCACCCACAATGGGGCACTATTCCTCCCACTGACACCAATGATGGGGCACTATTCCTCCCACTGACGCCAATGATTGGGCACTATTCCTCCCACTGACGCCAATGATTGTACACTATTCCTCTCACTGACACCAATGATGGGGCACTATTCCTCCCACTGACACCAATGATTGTACACTATTCCTCCCACTGACACCAATGATGGAGCACTATTCCTCCCACTGATACCAATGATGGGGCATTATTCCTCCCACTGATACCAATGATGGGGCATTATTCCCCCCACTGATACCAATGATGGGACACTATTCCTCCCACTGACACCAATGATGGGACGCTATTCCTCCCACTGACACCAATGATGGGACACTATTCCTCCCACTGACACCAATGATGGGGCGCTATTCCTCCCACTGATACCAACGATGGGACACTATTCATCCCACTGACATCAGTGATGGGGCGCTAGTCCTCCCACTGCAAAATTACAGTTATGAAGTAGCAACGAAAATAATTTTATGGTTGGGGGTCACCACAACATGAGGAACTGTATTAAGGGGTCGCGGCATTAGAAAGGTTGAGAACCACTGCTGTAAGCACACTGCTTTGCATGGCTGTGCACAGCACAGCCATGCAAAGCAGTGTGCATGAGCTGACAGGGGGGAGAACTGTTTTGTTTACTAACAGTTCTCCCCCCCATCGGAAATGCTCAGCAATCACCAGTCAGGACCCGGTGATTGACAGCCGCAAATGGCAGCGCAGGTAAGGCGCGCGTGCTCCCTACCCGGAAATGTAAAATCACATATATATATATACATGATTTTGCGCACCCGTGCCGCCCTGTGACAGTATATCTGCTATAGGGCGGACGGGCAGCAGTTAAAAGTGGTTCTAAAGCCTAAACATGTTTTACCTCAATGCATTCATTGCATTAAGGTAAAAAATAGGCATCGGTATTGGCCCTTAACCCCACCCCCTTATACTAACCAGAGCTCTCATTCGATCCAACGCTGTACACATCTGCAGCTCTTCTCTCCCCTCACTTCTGGGTCTCACAGGCTTTGCTGAGGCAGCAGGAGCCATTGGCTCCCACTGCTGTCAATCAAAGCTGGTGACAAGGGAGCAGGGGGGTGTGATTGAGTCCTGCTGTCTGCATCAATGGATGCAGCAGCTGGGCTCGGGAGTGAGCCCGCACGAGTACCCCCAAGCGGCTTCCTATGGTGGCACTAGCCAAAAAGGAAAAGCCAAGCGTGCCAGTAGGGGACCCAAAAAGAGGAGGTTTGGGGCCGCTCTGCAATTCTATTGCATGGAGCAGGTAAGCATAGAGATGTTGGTTTTTTTTTTTTTTTTTTTTTTTTTTTTCTTTTATAATTTCCTTTACAACCACTTTAAAGTGTATCTACAGCCATACTTTATTTTTCTTGTTTTTGGATAGTAGGGAATAATTAATGCCTAGGGTCTCATTGGGAAAGCTGGGAAATGGTTCAGCGTTCAATAGACTTTTATTCTATGTACTCGCAAACGCCATCTGGAATAAACAAAAAGAGGGTGCATTGTATACAAGCTTCATTTCCTGCTCCAATTCTATTGCACAGATCAGGTAAGTATAGAGATGTTGTTTTTTTGCTGTTGTTTATAATTTCCTTTACAACCACTTTAAAGTGTATCTATAGCCATACTTTATTTTTCTTGGTTTTGGATAGTAGGGAATAATTAATGCCTAGGTTCTCATGGGGAAAGCTGGAGAATTCCTTTTTTTTTTTTCTTTTGGAAAACCTACGTTTTGCCCGGCCCATCTTGAAGCCACCTGTCACATTAAAGAACCAATAGGGATACTCAGCAGTCAAGCTGCACTGGTTTTTTTTTTATAAGAAAAGCGAGGATTTGCATTTACAGTATTTTCTGGCGTATAAGACTACTTTTTATACTTAAAAATATACCCCAAAAATTGGAGGTCGTCTTATACGCGGGGTATAAAATGTGAACCTTGAGTTTGTTTGGGTCAAGCTGGCTTGATGTGTGGTAATACTGTACATACAGTATACCGCACTGAGCTAAGCTGACTCAAAACAAATGTCCCTATTACAGATTAATCTGTCAGCCCGCTGGATGTGTGGTATATACAGTAAACTGCGTTGAGCCAAGCGGTTTCAAAACGTACCGGTACGTCCCTACTGTAATCAGCCCACTGGATGCGTGTATGTACGGTAGCTGCGGCTATATACAGTATACACTGGGCCAATCACGGCGAGTGATGTATTCTACTAATGAAAACAATGCCTGCTCGGATTGGCTGAGTCAGAGAGGTGGGATGATGATGTCACAACCTCAGCCAATCTGAGCAGGCTTTGTATTCATTAGTAGAGTAATGTTTTGAGCCAGCTTGGCTCAGCACGGTATACTGTATGTACATTACTGCACATCCAGCGGGCTGTATATATACTGTATACTGTATGTAGCCGAAGCTACCGTATTACCGCACATCCAGCGGTAACCATCTGATCTGGAATTTGATCCATATGATGACTGTCTTACAAATGTATCACAAGATGTCATTCATGAACTTATGATGTCAGAGGATGAACATGAGGATTTTGAAGGATTCTAAGTACCGGTAAGTCATAACCATTTCAATTAAAAAATCTGATGTTTTTAAATGGTGTTGCCTCGGAAGGGGGGTAGTCTTATACGGCGAGTATAGCCCAAAACCTATGTTTTAACTGGAAAATTAGGGGGTCGTCATATACACCCAGTCGCCTTATACACCGGAAAATACGGTAACTTTGTATATTTCTAGATGTCAATATGACTTAATACTGAACTGCCTTCTACTTATCTATTTTTTCAACATATGCTCAGTTTGAATTGCAGAGTTTTGCATCAAGGTTACTTTAGCTGTAGAAAGTTTTGGAACAATTTGTGCCGTTAACATCATTTTTTTTCCTCTGTGTGTGCTGGGAATGAAGCATATCCTGCTCAGCACAGATATTTCACAGTACAGACAATGGGCTATATTATGTCCATTTTCTTAAAAGTAATGGAGCATGGTCTGCTACCAGACAACCTGGCCTTCAGCAAAACATAAACTATCCACTTCTAACCTGTCCTTCTCACCCGAAAGCCACAGAACCATAACACAATAAATACATATGTGCAGTCATAAATTGGAAAACTCGAAATCTTCTGAATGTTCAAACATTTGCTTGATGCTGACTGCTATTCTAAAGCACTTTTATTTAGTTAGATGTTCTTTGTCCTACGGCAGTTATATGCCATCAAACCTGAAACTCTCAACTGAACAGGGACTTATAAGAACTACTGTGTATGGAGTGTTTAATCTAGATTTAAAGTCTGTGTTCATCCGAATCTAGAAATGTAAAGCGACCCTATATACCATGGTCATTTGTACAAATTTAAATCTTCATTTATTTTCCTGTTGTTTTAATCTAATTCCTGAAAAAATAACTTTTATTTCGTACTTTCTTTTTTTAGAGCTGAACAGAATGAATAAATATATAAAATATTATAGAAACCACTATAGATTCCCTTTAAATTAGTAAATATTGTAAATAGGCAAATATAATACTCCAAATGTCTACTTTTAAAGGATAAGTTCACTTTAATAAAAAAAAAAAATTATAAATGCACATTTTTTTTTTTTATTTCAGTAAACATAATGTGATCAGCAGATTGTGGGTACAATGTGCATTTATTTTCTTGGGAGCCTGTAAATCACTGTACCTATGATCAGCAGATTGTGGGTACAATATCAGGCTCTTGCAGACTGTCAGATCACTGTCTGCCCGTACCTCCAATATGGGCAGGCAGTTACTGCAGTCCAGGAAACTATAAATGAATGATGTCCCTGTGTGGGCAGAGCCACATATTTTTTTTTAATTGTAACAGTGGGTACAGGGAGATAAACCCCCGCCCGCTGTTAAAAGAGAGGGGGGGGGGGGGGGATCAGGTGGAGAAGCTGCAGCTCCATGTTCCACCATAAAAACAGGTGGAACATGTTCCAAAAGGCAAACTTATCCTTTAAGCGGGACATAGACAGATTGAATCTTGGCCGGTTTAGCAGACATCGGCCAAGATTTGATCCATCTATGGGCAGGCTAGTTTTACCCAAGTCAATCCATCAATCAACTTGGGTACAACCAGTTTGTCAGATTTTTTAAATGCGATTACTGCTGATGGATTTACTGCTAGCAGTAATCATTGTGTTCTGCTGGCCAGGAAGGCACAATAGCAATGCAGGAAAGATTCCTCCATCAACACTGACTGTGTTGATGGGGGAATTCAGAGAATTTCTTTTTCTTCCACCTGTGGTGGAATCACATAAGCTGTGTTCTCTATTCTGTTATAATATTGCAGCTTTTTACTCTTCAGGGACAGATATTTCTCTCATTATTTAACTGTATGACCTGTAGTAATGTCTGTAAGCCCCTAAAGAGGCTGCCCTCAGTTCCTTTTCAATTGAAAAATTACAGCGGCAATGCTTCAGGGGGTTCTTCAAAACCAGCGCAACCTTCAAGATATAAGTCCCTCTCATTATGTTGTTGACTCTTCATGTTGCAATTCATGTGACTATGGGCAATCCTCAAGCCTGAATTTTCCCAAAGATGGAATCTGCATATATTCCACCACCACCCTCCCCCAAATAAGTTCTGGCATGATGCAATTTCCAGTGTCAATGTAAGTCATACAGTGAGGAACAGAAGTATTTGAACACCCTGCGATTTTGCAAGTTCTCCCACTTAGAAATCATGGAGGGGACTGAAATCCACATTGTAGGTGCATTCCCACTCTGAGAGACAGAAGTTAAAAAAAAATTCAGGAAATCACATTGTATGATTTGTAAAGAATGTATTTGTCTTGCACTGCTGAACATAAGTATTTGAACACCTGAGAAAATCAAGGTTAATATTTGCTACAGAAGCCTTTGTTTGCAATTACAGAGGTCAAACATTTCCTGTAGTTCTTGACCAGGTTTGCACACACTGCAACAGGGATTTTGGCCCACTCCTCCACACAGATCTCTTCTAGATCTGTCAGGTTTCAGGGCTGTTGCTGAGCAACACAGAGTTTCAGCTCCCTCCAAAGTGGTTCTATTGGATTTAGGTCTGGAGACTAGCTAGGCCACTCCAGAACCTTGATATGCTTCTTATGGAGCCACTCCTTGGTTATCCTGGCTGTGTGCTTCGGGTCATTGTCATGTTGGAAGGCCCAGCCACGACCCATCTTCAATGCTCTGACTGAGGGAAGGAGGTTGTTGCTCAAAATCTCACAATAAATGGTCCCATTAATCCTCTCCTTAATACAGTGCAGTCGTCCTGTCCCCTTCGCAGAAAAGCACCCCCAAAGCATGATGTTACCACCCCCATGCTTCACAGTAGGGATGGTGTTCTTGGGATGCAACTCATCCTTCTTTTTCCTCCAAACACAGCGAGTGAAGTTTAGACCAAAAAGTTCTACTTTGGTCTCATCTGACCACATGACTTTCTCCCATCCCTTCTCTGGATCATCCAGATGGTCATTAGCAAACTTAAGATGGGCCTGGACATGTGATGACTTGAGCAGGGGAACCTTCTGTGCAATGCATGATATGAAACCAAGACGGCGTAGTGTTCTACCTTTGAAACTGTGGTCCCAGCTCTCTTCATGTCATTGACCAGCTCCTCCCTTGTAGTTTTGGGCTGATTCATCACT